TTATAAAGAGAAAAGATTGATTTTGGCTCATGGTTTTGGAGGTTTGCATCCATGATATTTGATCTCTTAGCTTGGGACTGGGACAAGACAGCATGTCATGGTGAGAATGTGTGGTGGAGCAAAACTTCTCATCTTATTGCCAATAAGTAACAAAAGGGAAGTGAAAGAGACCGAATTCCCAAAATCCCCTTCAAGGAAATGCATCAATGACCTAAAGACCTCTTTCTCACCTATCAAAGGTTCTAGCACCTCCTTGGGGCCAAGCCTTGAACACATGGGTCTTTGAGTGACATGAATATATTTGCAGTTTTAAATAAACATCTCTTACATAATGCTGGTTGAATATGATATAATTCAATGGACTGTGGTGCCCATAACACATGTTGAAGCCCTTTCTGCCAATATGACTGCATTTGGAGATAGGGTCCTTAATGAGGTAATTAAGATTAAATTATGTCATAAAAGTGAGGAACTAAAACTATAGGACTGGAATTCTCATAAGAGTCACCATGGATGTGTACAGAAAGAAAAGCCCACGTGAGGACACAAAGAAAAGGCGCTGTCTGCAAGCAAGAAAGAGAGAGAAACCGAATCTCCCGACAACTTGATCATGGACTTCCAACCTTGAGAACAGTGAGAAAAAGTGTCTGTTCTTGTTCTTTAAGCCATTCAGACTCTGGAAATTTGTTATGGCAGCCCAAGAGGATTAATATGGTGCTAGACTATTTTTATTTTTCAGGGTTGGAAGGAGAACAAGAACCAGAAGAGAGACCTTCTGTTAGCAAAGTCCTCCTCAAGGAAACCAAAGGAAGACCATAATCATGTGAAGTGGGAGGACCGAAGTCTGTGGCTTACAGTGAGGTGGCTGGAGATGGGAAAGTGTCAACAGACAGTGGCTTGCTCAGAGCCTGGTACATTTTACTCTTCACTACTGCACGAGCACATTTAAAGACATCTTATACATTATTGTGCTCCAAATATGTGAATCAGCGATTACATTTCTCCTTAATTGTCCTCTTTCCAGACTAAATTTTCCCAGTAGCCCCAGCTTTTGTCTTACAACCAGGTCAGATTCCTTGCCCTTCTGGTTATATGTCTCTGGGTGTGCTTTAGCTTATCTGAAGTTTTTAAAGTAACAGTCTACTCTCTGTGTGTTCCAGGCAGCCCTGAGGATAGAAAAACTCCTCCTTCTTTCCCTCTAGGCCAAAGCAAAAAAAGGAGAAAGAAAAAGGAGATGTGTTATGGTTCTGTCTGTGGCATGATTGCTCTCTAGTTAGGGGGAGGTTACTTTGGCAACAGCCATTTTATGTTCCTTTAAATAACCTCCTGGTTAGCAACTCTTGATTTTCATAAAACCAACAACTCCTGAAGACACTTCTTAAAAGTAGATATGCCATTTTTTCTCTTGCTCTCTTTGTTTAAAAAACATTTGAACAAATAACACAATATTTTAAAATGTATTAGCATAAAAGTGAAACATACTAGTTAAAGTCTGCATATTAATTTTGAGATTTTGCTACAGCCCTGACAATAAAGCTGTTGATGCTCATATAGCATTGAATTAATAATTTCAGGAAAATGATTTTTTTATAAACATTCTCATCTTTGCTGATTGCAGGATGGACTTTGAAAAGGGAAGAACTGTTAACTTTTCATATTTGCAATAACATGTAGCATCACTGCAGTGCATTGTTGTGGTGGTAATTCACCTTGTGAGAACAAACACAACTCTGTTTAGAAACTCCCCAAATGATTTTTCTTTGAATGGTTTCTTATCTACACTAACTGTGCCATACCAAAGTGTTGCAAACAATTACAGTTGGTAACCTTTGTAGTGAAACTAACCCTGAAAATGTAAGAAATTGCTTTTAATGAGCAATTAAAATGCCTACCCTAAAAGCTGTAAAAGACATTAAGTTTTACTTGGCATGTAGAAAGTTGCCTGCAAAAATATACTTCTTGCTATTTCATATGACAGAGGATGAAAAGGTATTCCACAACATTATTGACAAAGGGCTATTGAACAACATTATAGATTTATTTTAGTTCTACACATCTCACCATTAGAAATTTTAAGATGAAAAGTTTGTTCTTTCAATTAATCAAAAATGTTGTTCCCTTCCTCTTAGCTAGGTCACTTAGGTCTTTATCCCAGTCAGCATTTTTTCCCCAGTTACTTGGCTGATTTCCATTACTGAAGAATTAGGTCTGGTAATTAAATCCAATCTCAGCACATTTTTTTTTTCAGCCAGTTTATTTAGATTCTATGCAAAACGGAATCCCTTAGGGATAGAAAATGAACATGTTGTGATGTATAATTTGCAATGAAACATATTTAACAGTTATTTTTAAAGAAGAACTTAGAGGTTTCCTTTGACTTGACTCAGCTTCAATATATTTATGCAACTTTTTCTATTTATACTTCCAATCCTTTATAATTGGATGTGTTCATATATATTTTCTGATGCTTTTCTTTGTCAGTAAACTGTTTTTTTGTGAATGATTTTATTTAAATCAGTATGTCCCCCTGATTCTTATATACATACATTAAAATATTTTTTTAAGTGAGAGAGGCTATGAACTAGAAATATATACATAAATATAATACTTTTGTACTATATACTTATGTATTTTAACATTCTATATTGTGATATAAACATTTATTTGATATGTGTTTTGATACCTATCTTCTATAGATATATCTTAAAATTTTAAGTATTTGATCTCATCTCCTCTTGCAATTCACCATTTAAGTGTTCTGAAAGTATGCAAGGAGTAGGAAAATCAAGATCTAAAAATATAATGAGGGTTGCTGTTGAGGTCACCTCTAAAATCATCTTATTTAGTCCATTCCCCAAGTTTCCACTGTACTATTTCATCATAGAATGGAATTTACAAATTGCCTCCCTATGCTTTCGGATTCTATCATGTATAATAAATTTTTACAAGAGTTTTTAAGAAAGGTTGTGAAAATGATTTCCTAGAGGTCCTTAAGAATAGTGTTTCCCGCAGAGAACTTTCATTTATTTGGTCAGTTAGTTGGTGTGCATGATTTTGTATCTAAGAGAATTTGAAATGATGTTCCTTCTAGCCTCAAACTCCTCTTCAGCATATTTACTTTTCATCAGACTATTTACAGCTATATCAATGACCTAATAACTAAATATATATATATATATACACACACACACACACACACACATATGTACATTTCATAAAGTCATGCACCATGTGATGATGTTTGGATTATTGACAGACAACTTATATGTTGGTGGTCCCATAAAATTAAAATGGAGCTGAAAAATATTGCCTAGCTATTGTGATGATGTAGGGCAACATATTTTGTGCTGCTGCTGGGGTAAACAAATCAACCACGTTCCTGACAGTGAAAAATATGACACATATAACTATGTACAGTACATAATTCTTGATAATAAATGAACATGTCCCTGGTTTGTATATTTTTGATACTATACATTTATTGTTACTTTAGAGTGTATTCATTCTATTTATAAAGAAAAATATTTACTGTAAAACTGTGCTGTGGTATACCAACAAAAGCCTCATATATGTCATGTTTAGTGCATCTCTTGATTTCATCAAAAGGCCACCTTGAGCGATTGACCTATACCTTCTGGGTTTGTGTAAGTATGCACTATGATGCTCATATAATGATAAAATTGTCTAATGACTCATCTTCAGAACAAAGAATGTTTCCATCATTAAACAATGCTTTCCTATGACATATACATAATATACACGTGCAGATATGAATCTCAAACACAAAATAATAAATGTCTATTTTTGCTGGGCTTTGTGGCACACACCTGTAATCCCAGTGGCTCCGGAGTTTGAGGCAAGAGGATTGCAAGGTCAAAGCCAGCCTTAGCAACTTAGTGAGGCCCTAAGCAACTTAGTGAAACCCTATCTCAAAACAAAAAATAAGAACAAAGGGTTGGGGGTGTGGTTCAGTGGTTAAGCACTTGTAGGTTCAATTCCTGATACCCCCCCCCACCAAAAAAGAAGTTTATTTTATTTTTATTTTCCACTCTTCTAGGTAGCAGACATTACATTTTCATCCCATTAGAGCTCTTCTCTCCTACCCAGATTATGTTCACAAGAGGAGGGGTTGGTTGGGAGAAGACAGTGTGGCTTTGTTATAGTCAGGTATAGAGAGGACTAACTTACAGTTTTAAATACATTGCAAGGTTTCTTATAGATGTAGTAGAGGGAACTACTCAGGAATTGGTATTCTGAATAATGATATCTTCATTAGTTTGCTGACTCACAAAGTAAGGACTTTTTTAGTAAGAAGTGCCAGCTAGATGTTAAATTACAGTAAAAGAAACTAGGCAATGGTTGATGCCCATGGAATTCACTGATCTTAATCTCATCCCCATTATAAGAAGCAGTTAGCTTTATAGAAGGTGCAATGAACTATGGAATACTCAATTGTATTAAAGTAGTTTGTGAAGGTGGAAACTGTTGCAAAATCCAACATGTGCTCTGAATTGTCAACTAAAATAATGTTCTCTCTCCCATGGCCAGAAGGTGCATGTGCAGGAATAATGAATTGAAGTAGAGATGAATCTTCTACCTAGTAGAGCTAATGGCCCACTTCAAAAGCTTGTTTTATGTCCTTGTGACTCTAGATTCTGTTAGTTTAACCATTTTAGTATCTTGAGGAGAAGTGCTTCCTCCAGAGAATATAGCAACAGTTTTTAGATTAATTGGAAGATTCACAAGGGTGGAGATCTCCAAGGTGGGAAAGATGGTTTCTGTCATCCATATGCTAAGGATTCCATGACCATTTTAGGTAATTTATGCTGCTGGAAAAATAAAGAATCATGTTCTCAGCTGGGATGGTTGATTCTCACTATGGAGAGGAAATAGTGCTCTACCACTACAAAGACCAGAGTACAGATACCTTCCTGGGCAGCATCCTGTAGTCATTTTATGTCAAATGAATAAAGTGCAGCAGCCCCTTACAGGTCAGATTCACAAGGGTGGAGATCTCTGAGGCGGGAAAGATGGTTTATGCCATCCATATGCTAAGGACTCCACACCAGTTACAATGCTGGCTGAAGACAAAGGGAAAGTGAACAGTGCAGGAAAGGGAGAAGCCACAAATATCATAGCTCCTTGCTCTCCACGCCATATCTACATTTGTTTATTTTATCTAATTCACTTTGTCTTTCTTGACTATTTATCATACCATTTTTAAAATGTTTGATTGGCTAATTTTCCATTTCAGGCCATTGGCTATAGAATATTAAATGGGTATGCAACAGATATTGAGGCAAAAGAACAACTCTTGGAGCTCTTAGATTTTGAGCTAGAAGAAGTAACAGGCAAGTCAGATGGTCCTTCCTTTTTGGGTGACGTTGAACATGCCTTGATTGTTTGAGGAGCATTGTTGTAGGAGAGAGGAGTATTTTCAAGCGAAATATGTGGATATCACATATTTGATTGTTGTAGGAGAGAGGAGTATTTTCAAGCGAAATATGTGGATATCAAGTAGGAAGAGGAGCTAGACTTGCAGAACATCAGCTATTGACCCAGTGTCCAAACACCCCTTTATTTGGCAAAATCCTCCAAAGTGTGCCTCTTAGTGGAAGGGAAGTTTCTTGGGAAGAGAAGCTGGAATGGCCAGGCCCTCCTTCCCTAAGGGCTTTTGCTGCTGTTCATCACCTAGCCTTGAATGTTTGAATATTCTGGAAAGGATGACACAAAGACACAAACCCAGTTAGAACTGATTCTAGCTGCTAGTTTGATAATATTGCGGGAATCCAGCATTGGCAGTGGTAGTATCACAGTTCTAGAGGCAAGGACACAAAATGTCTTGGGGTGGCAATATTGAATTGCTGTTATTATCGGTGATAGTGCTGATGAGGAGTAGCACTAGGACAGAATGTTCTTGGCTCCCTGCTGTTTACTCCACCTTGGTTACTCCACTCCCAATTTCTCAGCCTGGGTTTTTTGGCCTTCCTGTTGATTGAGTTACTGACACAATATCCTTTCAGTAAATGTCTTTTCTTTTTCATTAAGTTAGTGATATTTGGTCTCCACAGCATATAACCAAGAGCCTTGACCTTTATGAGACTGATTCATGGATAACATTTTATTTTTATCTGAGGACAGTGAGCCATACACCAAAAAAAGAACTACATAAAAACTGCAAAGATTCTTTATTTGTATGATTGCTATTTTCTTTACTCATCTGTTCCTTTACAGAAAGAAATAATAATAAAAAAAACAGCAGAAAACTCACTAGCAGAAAATTAAATTCTTCTCAGGGAGATAAATATTTATCTAGGAAGGAAAATATTGTTGAATTTCTTTTATGCCTTCTGTTCCCAAAGTTCCATCTTTTGCCTCAGCCTGCATTGTGAGTTCTTTGCCCTTTTTTTTCATAGTCTAGTTCCACTGCTAGATGGAGCTGGCCCACAGGCACAGGAGAAGGAAAAGAAAGTGCTTCAGATTCTGCAGGTAAAGAGGGGGGGGGAGAAAAGGACTTCATTATTCTCTGGCCTTCAGGAGTATCACAGAGATCAGCACTTTTAACACTGTGAGAGCTACGTTTTTTCTAGCACAGCTCTTGTGTTTTAGTATGCTAAAATAGTTTCTGTCACCATTTCAATTTCAAGTCACGTTTTAGAAGCCTTCCATTTTATTACTTAAGCTTTCAGAGGCTCTTGGCAAGATGGGTGGCATGGGAAACCTGGCCCTCCGTAAGTCTATAAAAAAAGGAGTATAGAAATCTAGCTCTCTTATCCTTCTGCTTGCTAGTTTCACAACAGGAAGGAACGACCTTTGGTCAAGTTGACATAATGAGGCGAGTGCTCTTCTGTCAGAATTGCTAAGTACCTTGAATCTAGTTCTTAAATGTATGCTCAGAAGTTTTTGGCTTCTATTTGATTTTGGTGAAATCCTTGCAGAACCTGGCAGGTTGTAAGCAATTAACAGCTAAGATAAAAAAGAAAGAAAGAAAGAAAGAAAGAAAAACAAAAAAGCCCTTTACAGGGCTAGTGAAGGACAAAGTGTCTCCTGGCTGCTGTCTTCGTCAACTCAAGTCCATTGCCAAGCGCCTGGATGGGCTCTTTATTCTGAAGAAAATGCAGCATAAAGTAGTGGAATCCTTTAACTCTTAAATCTTTCCTTGTGTCTCTAGAATGGGAAATGGTGCACAGAGAAATCACATTGTTGGAGTATCCAAGTCTCCTGTCATCTCAAGCTTGGCAAAATAAGAAACAGCTGACATCATGTTTCTAAATATACAACACTGTGCAACAGCTACCTGAAGCAAAAGCACAAGGGTTGAGAAGGCAAAATAATGACTTTTAGTCACTGGAAGGCATCCATGTTCAACAGACTGTCAGGAAGTGACAGGTGGGGCTGGCTCACCACCGGGGTTGAGGGCTGGTACAGGGCTTTTATTAAAATTGCTGCACAAAAACAGGGAAGATAAACACCCAGTGGGTGTAGTGGAATGGCTGGGCCATATGTTAAGCAAGAACTAAGAAGCTCTTTCTCTAGAATAAACCTGCCTAAGGCAAGCACCATATATATATATATATTTTAAATCTTGTATATTAGGCAAACACATCCCAGGATTTATAAATACATTTCACATGCCTCTGTTATCTTCAGTGCCAATGTCTGGAATTAGTGTTCTGCATGTATAGTTCCTTGATGTATGCCAATGACAATATAATATAAATTTTTTTAATATCGTCAGGAGGGTAAGAAGGATGTTAAACTTTTAAAAATGTTCTGTACTTGGCACATAAACATTGTACATATCTATGGAGTAACATGTAATGGTTTTGTTTGTGTATACATTGTGTAATGTTCCAATCAGGGTAAACATATCTGTCTCCTCAAATATTTGTCATTTCTTTGTGGTGAAAACATTCAAATCCTTTCTTGTAGCTGCTTTTGAAATATATAATAATTATTATTCACAGTTATCCTACTAGATGGAGCTGGCCCACAGGAGAAGGAAAAGAAAGTGCTTCAGATTCTGCAGGTAAAGAGTGTGTGTGTGTTGGTCAGGGGGGAGACAAGGAACTCATTATTCTCTGGCCTTCACGAGTATCACAGAGATCAGGCCTTTTAACATTGTGAGAGCTACGTTTTTTCTAGCACAGCTCTTGTGTTTTAGTATGCTAAAATAGTTTCTGTCACTAGAACTTCTGACTCCTAACTAACTAAAACTTAGAACCCAATGACAATCTTTCCTCATCCCTTTCTCCCCACATACTTTTCCCAGTCTCTGGTAACCACCATTGTCTATCAATTTCAATGAGATCAACTGTTTCACATTTCATATATGAGTGAGATCATGAAGTATTTGTTTTTCTGTGGCCTGCACATTTTCTTCTTCCACTTATTAGTTGATGATTGCTTAGATTGATTCCATATCTTGGCTATTGTAATTAGTGCTGCAATGACCATGGGAATGTAGATATCTCTTTAATATACTGATTTCATTTCTTTTGGATATTTACCCAGTAGGGAATTACTGGATCATATAGTAGTTTTATTTTTAATTTTTTTATTGTTTGTTCAAGACATTACAAAGCTCTTGACATATCATATTTCATACATTAGATTCAAGTGGGTTATGAACTCCCATTTTTACCCCAAATACAGATTGC